ATTTCTAAAAAGCTCCTAGCGCCAAATCTAGAGACTTTTTTCTGCTACTGGAGACTTTGGAGACAACATCTAAAAGCACAGAGAGGAAAACAAGAAGAGAGGGACAAAACCTAGAACAGATAATGGATGTCTATTCTATTAACATTTCTCTATCTGTAGAATGGGGCTGTTTGATGTGTTCTCCATTCAGAGGGCCCCCTGCCCGTCTTTGCCTAGGGCCCCACATTTCCTAAATCAGCCCCTGGTATTGACTATAGTCTGATATAACAGCGGGATTCATACAGGCGGGTCAGAGACATGCAGAGCTTAGATTAAACAACCTATTTTAAAACAGATCTTTAGGCTCCTTTAACCAAGAAACACAGTTTGCTCATATTTTCTGTTTTTGAATGTTTTCCTCTAAAAATGTTTTCTTTACAACAAAATGTTTTCCACTCAGTTAGCTTTTTTCAGAGGGGGTATTAGGTACCTTCCTAAATAATAAATAATAAATGACCAATTACATCCTCATTTACCAAATGAAGGCAGATTAAATGTTGCGTTAAATCCATGTATCTCAGTGTTTCTGCACTGAAGCCTCTTTAATCTATGGAGTGAATTCTCCTCCATTATTGTGCTGATTTTTTTTTTTTTATTTATTATATATATATTTTTTAATTTTTTTATTTATTTATTTTTTATTTTTTTCATTATTGTGCTGATTAAAGAACCATGTTTGGATCATAAAAAGGTCACTTTACTGCTGTTACTGTTTGATTTTAACTTTCCTTTTAAAATCACCTTTTTCCAATTTTACTCTTTCTAATGTAATTTGTTTTAAATAATTAGTTAACTAATTTTTATGTTTGGATTTTTGCTTTTTAAATTTGTTTTTCAGATGGAGTTTTATGAAATGCCTTTTTTTTAAAGTGTGTTTTCATAGAATATATTCCCTTCACTTTAAGTCCAATATAAAAGCTCACTTACAGGTGAAAAAAATAGAATAAATAAATAAATAAAT